TTGTTGTTGTTGTTGTTGTTGTTGTTGTTGTTGTTGTTGTTGTTGTTTGGCGGATTGAGGTGAGCTAACTGCAGAGCTTCCGTCGTTTAAAACGATGTAGATCCTTGGAGAGCTTCTTTTCCCCGTGTCATACATACAGAATGGCATTAGTGGTTTATGTGCTTAAAGATATTGAAGATAACATGCGGGGTGCCTCTCCATCATTCACTGTGCAGGAAAGTGGAGATTAAAGGATCATCCTTAACGTTTTTTTTCAAAATTCAAGTAATTTTACCACGAAACGTGAAAATTGTATTGTTGATTGAATTAATTTATAAGCATACCATGGTTTTTGTTTTCCTCAAATAACGCCCTGGTTTTGACTGAACTCATTTGAAATAGGGATCCTCCAACGTGTTAGTATTTCACCTTTCACAAATGTATCGTTATGTAAAATTGGTGGAATTGACCTCCGAACATGGTTGTGATCCTTCCTCAGTGGGACTCAATGATCACCACTCTCCCGGGCCTTTACCTCGTCTCCGTGGGAGTCATCAAGCCCGTGGTGTGGCTCGCTGACCTGACAGGCCAGGTGGTGTGTTCCACGGCCATGCTGCGCTTCATCAACCTGCTGTTCAACTGCGGCAACCTCTACGTGCTCTATCTGCTCATCTGCAAGCTGCACCTCCGGGAGAAGGTATTTCCCGGAGCGATGGCGGTAATCATGCGTGAGTGATCCCGTTTGTCGTTTTCTGACATCCCGTTCCCTCTCTCTTCCAGACACGAACAACTTCACGGCGAGTCCTCTCGGCACTGTCTCTGTCCACCTTCCCCGTGCTCTACTTCTTCAACTTCCTCTACTACACAGACGCCGGATCTACTTTCTTCACCCTCTTCACCTATCTCATGACGCTCTACGGCTGCCACAAGGCCTCGGCGCTCCTCGGCGTCTGCTCCGTGCTCTTCCGTCAGACCAACATCGTCTGGGTGGCCTTCTGCGCCGGCACTCTGGTGGCCGCCAAAATGGATGAGGCTTGGAGGGTGGAGCACGCGAAAAAGAGGGACGAGAAGTCCCCCGCGTCCCAGGTCCCTCTGTCATTCAGCGGAGCTAAGAAAACCACGCTTTTCACGCTGGAGTTCCTCACCTCCCCCAGCCACGTGAAGTCAGTGCTGCTGGTAGCCTGGCCTTACGCGGTGGTCGGCGCGGGCTTCCTGGTGTTTATGGTGCTGAACGATGGGATAGTGGTGGGCGACAGGACGAGTCACGAAGCCTGCCTCAACTTCCCCCAGCTCTTCTACTTCTTATCCTTCGCCCTCTTCTTCTCCCTCCCCGTCTCGCTGTGTTACCACCGCGCTCTCCGCTTCCTCCAGGCCCTGAAGAAGCAGCCTCTGTTTTTCCTCTTCGTCACCTGCGTCTGCCTGCTCCTGGTGTGGAAGTTCACCTCTGTCCACAAGTACCTACTGGCAGACAACCGCCACTTCCCCTTCTACGTGTGGAAAAGGCTCTTCCAGAGGCACGAGCTGGTGCGCTTCCTCCTTGTCCCCGCGTACGTGTTCGCGGGCTGGAATTTCCTGGACGCCTTCAAGGGGCGCTCGCTCTTCTGGAGTCTGGCGTTCCTGGCGTGCCTCCTGGCCGCGACGGTACCGCAGAAGCTGCTGGAGTTCCGGTACTTCATCGTCCCCTACCTGATGTACCGCCTGCACATGCCCCTCCCATCCCTCCCCAGACTCGTTGTGGAGTTTCTCCTGTACACGGCGGTGAACGCCGCCACGCTTTACATCTTCATCAGCAAGACGTTCCACTGGCCGGACAGCACGGCCGCACAGAGGTTCATGTGGTGAGCAAAAGAGACTGAGAGTCTGACAGCAGGAGCTCAGATTACAGGATGTAATCAAACGATTTTCCAGAGAACCACAGAACATGTGAAGTCTCCGAAATCAATAAGAAAAGCTTCTGTTACATTTCAATGACGGACACAAATGGCTTATACTTTCAACATTTTTGTACAGTGTAACCAAGTAGTGTTCGGGATCGCCACAGTTTACACTGAGAATTGATATTGCTAGTTTTAACGTGACAGGGGACAGACAAAAATATTAAAAAAAGAACATTAGGTTTGAGTTACGCTGGGGTTTTATTTTCACCGACGAGGGCCACAAACCCTGAAGCAACGCTGTACATTTACTGTGATTCACTTCACAATTACACGAAAATGGCCGAGAGTGTTGAAAGAGAATTACTTTAGTAAAAAGGAAAGTGTTTGGCTTTGCTGATGCAGTGGTGGTATCGGTAAATGGTCTGTTTCGATGAGAATTGACTGATATGTAAAAGTCGTTTCTACTGCACCTCCAATTGTTTTGGATGAAATGTTGACCCGTCTCCAGGGAGGAAAGATAATAATGTCACTTTGACATTTTCTGCAGGTTTTCCTGGGAGTCGTCACGGCCGGGTGTTGTTTCTTATGGCCGTAACTGTTTTGTACTATAAATGTAAATACCAGTTCTGTGAATCGATCTTTGCTGAAGTAGCTGTTGACACAAGCTGTAAATATGATTCAAGAGACCAAAAATGACAGCCATATTGTTCAGAATTTCTATTGTATGGGATGTTTTTGTAATGATTGAGATCCTTGTTTGTTTGGTTTTGCCAGTGGAGAACACTGACACATTTATAATCACAGAGAAGATACATGTTTTTACTTTGACCAAGCCATAAAGACTCACTGGAAGTGATTGAGAATTCAGATGTTTCTTTGTCATTTAGTTCGTTTGGTTGTACTTTGTGATTTATTTGTTAACTCACTGTATCTCCTTTCTGTTGGCTTATTTCATTGTGCCTGGTTTGTGTCTGTTTCACTGTCATTTTTCTATGTAGATACATGTGATTTAATCATAATCTGTCCATTCAGCTGTATGCTGTTCATTCCATTGTGTGTATACCTTTGAATAAAATGACTCGTGCAATGTGAAGTCTCATGTCAAGTTTACACACACACACACACACACACACACACACACACACACACACACACACCACCTAAGACTTTACAGAATGTTGACTCAACAGATCGTCCACTAGGGGGAGCTATAAGACAAAGCTGGATATTCCTATGAATCAATCAATCAAACTCTTAAATGGTGTATTTACAGCAGAGAAACACAGCAATAACAAAGCCTTTGTTAAACTAGTTATTCAAATCAACATGGTCGGTGAGAAGCCAGCCTTGAAAGCTACTTTTGTTTTCATACTGTTCAAATCATCTCCAACTCAACAACACACTCCAGAGCTTTCAAATTACAGCTGGATAAAGACAAACGAAGAAGAAACCCAGGCAGCCAGATGTAACTAGCAGGACCTGACATTGTACAGAACGTAACGATGAGGCTGAAACCCTTCGATGGCTCTGTGGCTCGTTGTAGTTCAGAGTCTTCTTCTTTACTTTGGAAGTGAAAGCCCAAAAGAAAACAAGCAGCTCAAAGAGGACTCTGTCTATTCCAATTACGTCAAGCAGCGGGGGGGAGATTTTAATAAAGTCAAACTGGGATGATTATAAAAAAAGTTGATTATTCTGAGACTCAGGAGATACCGTTTGTGCTGTGTTCCAGCTGGGAATGGATATATTGGAGTACGTGTTTTTTTTAAATATTCTGGCTTTTGCTAAACCTCCGTCTCTCAGCGTCTCATTGGTTTTATACTTTGGGGATGATGAAAGCACAGATTTGGCTTTTCTCACCACTTTGTTCTGGGATTTTGAAGATTACAGCCCAAGAGGGAGGCACTACCATCATTCATAAGTGTTTTGTTTTGTGTGTCATGATAACTTTGCCCTTGTGTGTTCATTAGTTTACCGATTGCATTTGGAGGGAAACTGGTAAAATGGTGGTGTTACTAAAGATACAAAATGACTCCGATTGACCCCGAGGACAACAAAGTGCTTTGACTACAAACATTTTGAGGAATAAGAAGAGTTAATAAACTCATACTCATGTCAAACTAGAAAAACAATTTGCTTTTTTAAAGTCCAAAAAGTTTCAAGCTTACTAAATTTACAGTTCATATTTTTAATATGTCATTAAGGGAAGAAATGTTCTGTTTTCTGTCTGTGGCAAGAGTTTGTTTTTTATTTCAAACCAGCTGGCGGGCTAGTGCAACTCGGAGTACGATCGAGTTTCCGACTCGTAAATAGCGTTGACATCAACATCCATGTCGTGATTACGCAACACGTTCTCATCCCAACTGGTCACATACTGATGCTTGATCAGACCCCTTAGTGTCACTTTCTAACGCACTAGGCAGCCCAGCGGGTCAAACTAAGACGCATTCATAGTAATCACCTGGTCAGTGTGTATTCAAACAACAACACTGAGATAGGTTTGGGATTAAAATGAGTACTTAAACTATGTAAAACATATACAACGTAACATACGGAAAACATGTCAGAAATATCACTAACGTCACTTCAAAATAACACTTTGGGAGACGAACACAGGTCTCCTGGTTGAAAGTCAAACAAGATGGCGACTCGAGGCTTCAAAACCGTGGTCAAAAAATCCGTGGGTGACGTCATGCTGACTACGTCCACTTCTTGTTTCTGCCTAACAGATTATACCTTAAATTTGTTGCATGCATATTCAGTAGTTTTGTCCGTATTAAACTTCCATAGAGGGTCTTCGGCACTAATTAAATGTCAAAATGATGGTACATTTGTTTTCTGTTTCTTCCTCTCTTCGTGTAAGAGTAACACACATGCAAACTTTTCTCCCAGACGTTAGACTGTAACTTTAAGAATCAGAGGCTCTGAGCAGTTCATTAAAAGGGGAGCTTCATTTGAGAAAGACAATGAGATCAATTTGTTTCAGTGGATGTTTATTACTTAACCATTCCCATAAGGGGGAATATAAAAGTTGCATGGGCAGAAAATAATTGGGATGAGAAAAGTAGGAGGGGTAATGGAGGATGAGGAGAAGGATGGAGAGATAAACACAGATCCTCAGGTATGATATGACAGCACAGCACACTCTAATTACAAAAGAGGTGAATATAATTACTATAGTTCAGGTTTATACTACATAATCTAATCTTCACAATCGTTTAAGAGAATAAACTATTTAATGGATTTATCTATGTCACTGTGGGACTAGTTGTGTGTTCATGTTACTTGTATGAAACACTGTACAGCGTCTGTCACAAAGCTGGTGTTATTTGATACACTTTATATCATCTTCTCCCATGAAAACACCTAAACAACCATGCGTTAGTAAATCTCTCACATTTGTGTCTACGGGAGGCAACAATCTTTACGACAGGCTCAGTCATTTCTTAACATAATAGTTACAGACAGTAGAAATACGGAATATGTTGCCTTAATTCTTGACTATTTTTAATTGATGGTGCCAGCCGACCTGAAATCTTAACCACTGCCAACATCCACCCTGTATCTGGCAGCTGGCAGGTGCTAATTTCATTCCCTGGGTGGTTGTGACTAACTAAACTCTCTCAATAAATACAGCAATTATAACTTTAATTTTAATGGACTGAATGCTCCTTCTCGTTTATTTAAAAAAAGAAAAGAAAAAATGCTTCATTCTCACAGTGTGGATCGTGAACCACATATAGGATGTTAGTGTGTGGAGTCAGCAGATCCCCCAACTCCTCGGACACTCTCCACCCCTGTCACTGTACATCCGTGTGACGCGTCCACATGTCACCACACATACGTGTATTCACATTCACCATGTGGCCTCCTAATGTGTGGCTGCAGAGACCACAAACTATAAAAAACAACAACAACATAACAATTCACCAGACTCCCCACTGAGCTATTACCGTCTCTTTCTCTCTCACACACACACACATTCAAAAAAAACGTACGAGGCCATGAGGCTCCCAGCAGCCCCGGTGCATCCGCCTGCTGTCTCACTGCATAATGCATTGCTGGCCGAGGTGGAAACACGCTCTACACACTTACACACGGAAACGGCTTAGCTGTGATGCATAATTTATCACATCAGGTTAGGGAGAACAAGTGGCCTCATATGTACTGCTAATTGAGACAAAGGCAAGGTTCCTGTGAGTGTGCAACTGTGTGTGTGTGTGTGTGTGGTAACTGCTGATTAACCACAGTAATCACAATAAAAGAAACATCAGTCAACCGAGTGGCCAAGTTGCCATTTGGTCTCACTTAGCCACATTGTTGTCGGTGGACTCTAATGAAGAAGCACGATCCGTGTTGTAGCTCTTCATCTGTGTGCGTTTAATATGATTTGTTTTTAGATGAGCTGATATGAAGAAGAAGAAAAAAAAAGCCAGAGCATTTCTTCACATTACAGAACTCTCTCTTATGAGAGACCCCGTTACCTTGAGATCACAACTGAATTATTCCATAATGACAGTAGGTAGTTTACTGGTGATGTAATCAGGCTGCAGAGTGAGCCTGGATCACACCTTCAACAACGTAAACACGGAGCAGAGCTGTGAAGAAACAGACGGAGAAGCAGAGGACACCATATGTCTCTGTGACACGTCAAAACCACTTCATTCCACGAGGCTCGCAGGAGCAACAAGTCAAATTTGGTTACTATGCTATTTTTTTTTTTTTTTTTGCTAAAAAAAAATCAATCATACAGTCAGAAAACAATACAGCAATATCCAATACACAACACTGATCCACTGCCAATCTCTACACTGGGAAAAAAAAGGCCACTTCAAAAATAAGTTCTAAATAAAAAGAGATTATGAAGATAGCTCATTTTGAGCTGTATTTTACTAGTATTAGGAAGTGTTGCGTGTCGTAATGAGCCTCAAAAGTAGTATTTTTTCACTTAACAAACATTCAAGATGCAACTAATGAGGTGATACTTGTTAATGTATCCAGAACGTCGTAATGGAATAAGTCATAAATAGAATATCTATTCTATTCTATTCTATATCTATTCACATCTGCTCTGCACACAAATAGAAATCTCATTTGGATATGACATATGCTGCAAGAAAAATGTTTTTATAGCTCTTTAAAAGTTACACAATGGACTCCATGTACCTGACATATCTTAGCACCTTTTAAAAAAAAACATTTACAGCACATAAGGAGCATGTTCTATTTAAATAAGAACGTGGGAGTTGAGTGGGCAGAGCGGCTAAAACATGTGTTTTGCTTTATTAACGGCACACAGTAATTATGCCACCTGCCCACATTCCTATCACCGTTTCCAGCATGCTGCCTGTAAAACTTTCATGGCGTTGTGGGGGAGGTGTGCCAGAGAAGTTCTTTTTGTTTTTCTAGGGGGTGTCCTGATGAGACCCGTATAGGTTTAGAAAATGCAACTCTGAACTTAGTATTGCACCAACCGGCTGAGATTCCCCCTCAGTCTTTTAATTTCTGGGGAATATTCAAATGAGATCCAACTTTAGCTCCGTCTCGGTGGCAGGGTTGCTAAGCTACAGGCTGTGTCAGGAAGTGACAAGCGAACATAATTACCACCCTGGTTGACAGACACCGACCGCAGTGTTCATTAGACTTACGCAAGCGTTAAGACATCAAGTCTTTTGAAAGGACAAAAAAAAAAAAAAAAAAAACCTCACGCAACCTTTTGCATCGGCTAATTACCACATAATCATTTGGTGAATAAGTATTTAAACAATTAGGGAGCAAAGGAATTGTGTCCCGCTTCCTTACAGTACGGGTGTTATCGTCTCAGTGCTGGGTATTCTTTACGCATATGCCAAGTCGAGTTATTATTTTCTTGCATTTTGAGCATCATAATCCTCCAGGTGCAGCTTGCTATTGGTGGCTTTGATGTGTCGCTCCATAGCTGGTAATGAGCAGTGTGACTCCTCTGGTGTCTGTGTGTGTGTGTGTGCATGTAGCATGTCTTTGTTTTGTTGTCATTGTTACGATGCTCTCTATCTATCTCTCTCTGCATTAGATGTTGATTGACAGTGATATTAGCACCTTTCCCTCA